TCCCCTCTCACTCTCCCCTTGTCCCCTTGTCCCCTCTCACCCTCCCCTTGTCCCCTCTCACCCTCCCCTTGTCCCCTCTCACCCTCCCCTTGTCCCCTCTCACCCTCCCCTTGTCCCCAGGTCTGGCCGGGCCCCTGCGGTGGCTGGAGAACTGTCTGCGGAGGGCGGCCGGGGACCGTGAGGAGGACGGTGAGTGGTTGGGGGGCTCAGGGCTGGGGTGGGGGGTCCGGGACCGGGCTGACAGTGCTCTTGTCCCAGGCGTGTCCCACCCGGTGCCGCTGGTGCCGCTCTCGGAGGAGAACGAGGACGCCATGGAGGACCGGCGCTTCCAGGCCCTGCTGAGGCAGCTGGGGCTCCGTCCCCCCGCCAGCGAGCAGGTGGGGTCCCTGTCCTTGTCCCTGTCCTTGTCCCTGTCCCCTCACTCCTGGTGCCACCCTACACTCTCTCCCCTCTCTGCCCAGGAATCCTTCTGGCGCATCCCGGCTGCCCTCACGCCGCAGCAGCTCCGCCGCGCAGCCGCCTCCATCGCCCACCGCGGCCCCGACCCTTCTCCACCCCCCCAGGGGCTGCCGGAGCCCCCCAGGTGCCCCCAGGACACGGATCCAGGTGAGAGGGGCCAGGGATGTGGGAGTCGGGCTGGGGGTCCCCCAGATATGGGGCTGGCCCTGACCCCCTCTTCTTGTGCCCCTCTTCTTGTGCCCCTCAGCAGAGCAGCCGCCATCGGGGCTGGGATCAGACTCGGAGAGGTGAGAAGGGGCTCCGGCCCCACTGCTGGGTCCCCTCCCCACTTCTTGGGGGGGTTCTGGACCCCTGGGTGGGTGGCTGAGTGTCACTAACCCCTGTCCCCACGGCTGCAGCGAGGAGCCTGTCCCTGTCCCCAGCCCCGTGCAGCCGGGAACCAAGAGGCACCGGGAGCTCGACAGCGAGGATGAGGATGAGGGGAGCTCAGGTGGGGGCAGCCCCTTCCCTTTCCCCTTCTTTCTTCTTTCTCCCCCTTCTTCTTTCTTCTTTCTCCCCCTTCTTCTTTCTTCTTTCTCCCCCTTCTTCTTTCTTCTTTCTCCCCCTTCTTCTTTCTTCTGTCTCCCCCTTCTTCTTTCTTCTGTCTCCCCCTTCTTCTTTCTTCTGTCTCCCCCTTCTTCTTTCTTCTTTCTCCCCCTTCTTCTTTCTTCTTTCTCCCCCTTCTTCTTTCTTCTTTCTCCCCCTTCTTCTTTCTTCTTTCTCCCCCTTCCCCCTGGGCACTGGGTGCTCCTGGGTCACACTCGACCTGTCCCTGGCCCCTTTGCCCCCTCCCCGGTGCTGGGGGAACAGGGGTCTATCCCTGGGGGGTCTCAGCACCCTCCCCCCTTCCTCTTCCCACAGGAGCAGAGCCGGCCCCCCCAGTCCCCCCATCCCCGGGGGACGAGGACGATGACCCGCAGCCCTGGGGGAGGCGGAAGCGCATCCGCTGCCTGGAGGAAGAGGAGGAGGAGGAGGATGATTGAGGGGCTCCCCGTGTGCTCAGGTCCTGGGCTCTTTTCTGGGTTTTCTGCAGGTTTTAAAGCTGGTTTTAAGGGTGCTGCGAAAGCGGGGGGCGCCTCCCCCCAGCCCCTGCCCCGGTGGTTTTCCTGGTTGTCTCCATTTCCCTGTTTTCCCCCCAAACTCCCTGTTTTCCTTCAGCTGTTGGGTTGGTTGGTTGGTTGTTTTTGTTTTTTCCCCCAAACAGCTTTTTAATCTGGAAATAGACCAAATAAACAAATGCAGCTCTCGCTTCTGCCTGCCATGTGGGTCTGGGGAGGCTGGGTCCCTGGGGGCTGCCCTGTCCCTGCGCCGGGGGACAGGGCCAGGCCCCGTGTGTCGCAATGGCTCCTGATAAGGGTGGCTATAAAGGGGCCGTGGGGGTGGCCGTGGCGGCGGCTGGACGGGGCAGGGACACCGGTGCCGGTGAGCGGGTGAGCCGGGGCGCTGG